TGTTGTGATCTTCCGGGGGAGTGCACATGATTTTAGTTTTGTCGATGTTTAGCTTAAGGCCCAAATCCTTGTATGCATTGTATGTGTTCAACATTTCTTGTAATTGCTGTACCGTGTTTGCAACTAGAGCGCAGTCGTCAGCGTATTGAAGTTCTGTGATAAATTTTGTACGTGTTTTTGCCCTGAGTCTTTTTATGTTGAACAGACCGCCGTCATATCGGTATCTAATGCCCAATCCTCTCTCCTGCAGTTTGCTGTCCACTATAATGGAGAGCGCTGCCATGAATATGTTGAATAGGAGAGGCGCTAAGACACATCCCTGCCTAACTCCTGTATTTGTTAGGAATGGGTCGCTCAGCGATTCATGATGTGACTCTCTTGACTTGTTGTTGTTATGGGGGCATTTACACACTAAGAAATTTGTTGGGTACTCCGAACTTTTTCATAATTGCCAAAAGCGCATCTCTGTTCACAGAATCGAAGACTTTTGTTAGGTCGATGAATGCAACATAAAGTTTAGACTGCTGCTCTTTTACTTTTTCCTGTAGTTGACGGATGGAAAATATGGAATCGACGGTGCCGCGGTTGTTACGAAAACCCGTTTGCGATTCTGGAAGGATTTTTTCTATATATGGGTGCAGCGGTTTGACATTATTTTTGCAAGAATTTTTCCGCCGATAGCCAATAGCGAAATTCCCCGGTAATTTCCGCAATCTGATGCACATCCTTTGTTCTTAAATATATTCACTATATTCGCGTTGCGGAAATCCTGAGGTACCTCTCCTCTTTCCCATACGACATCGAAGAGAGCCTTAAGATGACCAATAAGTTCTTTACTTGCACATTTATAGATTTCCGCCGGAATCGCGTCACAGCCAGCTCATTTGTTATGGTTAAGCTGTTTTATAGAGGTCTTTATTTCCTGTTCTGTTATTGGGATGTCTAATTCATCGAGGCTGTTATACTGAGGTATTGTATTTAGTGCTTCCATATTGTGGTTGTTTTCTTGGTTAAGGATATGGCTGTAATGTTCCTGCGATTTCTGATTTGTTATTCCTCTTTTAGAAGTTTGCAATTTTGTGCCAGGATTGGGCAGCTCACCTTCTTAGTTCTCTTCGAAGCGTGTTGTTGGCTGCTTTAAAGTTGTCTACCAGTCTTGGATTATGTGGATTTGCAGTGACTACTTGATGTGCTCTATGCTTTTGTTCCAACAAAGCCTGTATATGCGGCTGATTTTCGTTAAACCAGTCTGGTTGTTTCTTTTTCTTCGACTTTCCCAGTACTGCTTCGCTGGTTTTATGAATCGCATCCCTTAATTGTGTCCAGCCTTGTTCAGCTTCCAATATTGAGATTGAAGTTATCGGTGGAAGTGATTCTTTGATGGCTTCCCGGAAGGCGTCGGCGGTATTGTTGTTCTCTAGACCCCGTACGTTCAATCTAGTCATGTTGTTTTGCTTTTTACAGTGTGGGTGTTTGGGTTTTAACTGGATTTTCATTTTTGAAATTAAAAGTCGGTGGTCAGTGCCGCATTCGGCATCTATTCTGGCTTTTGTGAGCCTAACATCTTTTAGATGCGTCCTTCGAATCGGATTATGTGGTCCAATTGATGCCAGTGGCCTGATCTAGGATGTTTCCAGGTACCTTTAAACTTGTCCTTCAACATGAACCGCGTATTGGTGATGCAAAGATTATACTCTGCGCATGTTGTTAATAAGCGTTCACCATCTATGTTTAAAAATAATAGGATATATTTAAAAATAATAAGAATTGGTTATAACAAGAATTGGTTATATATATAACTCAGTAATTTTTCGAAAAAAACATATTATAGCTTATATTGCTAAAAACCTTAAAAAATGGCGTTTTTTATGAAGTCATGGCCAGCTATGGTTTCTATATAAAAAATATATGTTTGTATCATATGTCCAAAATGACAGGCTTTAGAAAAAAACGGAGGACACAAGCTCGCATTAAGGATGTGATTATCTGCAACTTTTGTCTGAAAACTTTTTTTGTCTAAAATAGCTTATAATTGGATTAGGGACAATTTTTAAAATAGCCGAAATTCGTTTTTTTTTTAATATCTAGTAAGCTATGAACTTTTTCAAAAATTTGAAAGACGCATATTTATGACCCCACAAAGCTGCAATTCTTTCCCCATATAACCGACTCTCTATCTCCAGTAGTTTCCGAGATACCCATAGAGAATATCGTAGAAAACTCACCCTGTATAAGCGATACCAAATAAACTTTTAGTTACGTAATCGAGGGCGCGATTTTATATTCATTGTTGCCTACCATGGACATATTCGGCGCCGGGCTGACTAACTGGAATTTCAATTTTCCGCTCGGAATTCAGGCGGTAGCTCTGCTGCAAAAAATGTCAGGTTACCACATTTATTTATCTATTTCGTGGCATTATCATTTATTTTGACACTCTAGTTTTTGGGATTAAATGAATGGTATCATGATAATTTAAGCTTCAAAATGTTTACTAGCAGACTTTGAAATCGAACATTATTTTTTTAGCTTAAAAGCTATAAAAAACTCATCGCAACCTTATTAGAATATTTTGAACGGGAAAGTTGTAGTAATGGTCCTTCATGTTCTTTAAGTGCTGTTAAGGAGGCGAGTTTTGTTGATGTAAATAATAACTACTGTTTATATGTTTATAATTAATTTATTTTTGTTTCCTAGAATATTTTGATTAAAGAAAACATGTAAAAGTGGGCAACGCTGTGCCGGTCAAGCTTAGTCACGCGACTAAAAATTTATTTGATATGAATAATTATATCTGAATGCAGCAGTTTTATTTCCTCAAGTTGAATTAAAAATTTGTCTTAATTCTTAGAAATAGTGATTTTAATAATTAGTAGAACTAAAGTAACTATTTTTATCATTACGTACTATGGTTGACTCACCGTTTAACAATTATACTATGTAAAAACAGCGTAGAAAGTTCAATTCGGTCGTAAACGTTCGCAAACTCGCAAAACTTCTTTTTATTGATATTTTCTTACTTTCTGCCTCATTGTAGCAGGATTTAGATTGTGTGAAGATAAAAAGTGCAGTCTAATTGCCAAAGTTTATGGCTTTCACCGGTAAAAGTAATGTTAACTAAGTGTTATACGTGCACATAAATACCTAAATGCCAAAAAATTACTGCAAAGAGGACATCTCAATATCCATTAAAACCTGAAATATTTTTTAACGATTTCTTATAGGTTAAACTGTTTTATTTTGATAAAATGTTATGATGTTATAGAACTTTTATGGTTTTTTTCGTTTAGTTGTTAGGTTAGGTTTTTTTTAAACGTTACAATTATTAATTTTTGTTGTTAATTTTTGCGAGGTGATCAACAATATAAAAAAGCCATTTTACCGCCTAAACATAAAAGAAAAGCACTTTTAAGCCTAAGCCCAAAATTACGTAAATGCAGTTTTATCGAATAAAAACGGCGTCAGCGATGGCTATGAAATGAAGATCGCTGTCATTTTATATGTAAAATTATATGGGAAATGTCATAGATCGTCATTTCTAAGCCAACTGGTCGCCGTTTTTTTTTTCGATCATACGGTATATTATTAAACTGACATGAAGTATCAAATTCATAGTGTGTAACCATAGTTTCTCGATATATAGTATATATTTATTTACAAGGTGTTAGTTTTTATTTTTTTATATTTGCAACGTTTGAAATTGTTTAAAAAATTATTTGTCACGTTTGAAAACAAAATAGCATGTTATATTCTGATTATAAATGACTTTTTGTGCCTCACCTGTATTGCCAAACGTACAGCTTCGCCACAAAAGTATCATTTTTGCCCCTAATAAAACAATATACTATTTTTAGATTTTATACTTATTCAAATTACTTGCCATTTTTCGTACATTATTACTACAAATTGAGAAACTTTCTACATACCTAGGTATGTAAATTTTGTTTGGCTTTTCTATGTTCGCACTTCCACATTCTGTTCCAGTTTAGAAATGTTCATCGTTATAAGCGAAAATTAACCACCAAGAGCAAAATAAATCCGAATATACCGGGTGCGTCTTAAAAGGGGGTCATCCCTATAACTTTTTTATTTTTTTCAGATAAAATAACGATTTTTAAATGCCATCCTTGGTATTTTTTTACTTTATTCGAAATAGTATTTTACTTTACTAGAAAACGACACTCTGAATAGTATATAATAATATAACATATAATATGTCACTTTTGACATTTTCGCATAGGTTTATTTGAAATTGTAACATGCGACAATTTGACTCGAAATACCAAGTGTGTGGTATCAAATTATTCGTAAAAAAATGCTTTTTCCAAATATGCTAATGAGCCACCCTCGTTCCATTTGAAAAAAATCAGGTATGATTAAAAATACAATTTGGGCATCTTTTAACCCGCAAGGATTAGCCACTAAAAACATTAGAAGATCAAATCTATTTTTCCAAGGCTCCTTGATTAAAAAGTAGTGTTTTTAACACAGCCATGGATGGCACTCTAGATTGAAATTTAAAATACAATTTGTTTTTGAGAGAATATGTCAAAAGTTGACATATGATATATTATTCGATTCAAAGTGTCATTTTCTATCGAATAAAGTAAAAAAATTCCGAGGGTACCATTTGCTATATGGATTTCTTTTCATTAAAAGTCATTAGTAAGGACTGAGTTTTATTCACAAACACAAAATTTTCATACATCTAGCCTCGACAAAATAGCCTGAAAAGTTGGTATCCATGGGTACCCCATTTTTATACCCCCAAATAGGTATCCCAAAAGGTCCGACCAAAATATAAATATACATTTCAATCTCAATTTACATAAGCAGGTTAAATAAATAAGATTTTAATTCCATTATTTTTCTTGCTGTGAAGAACGCTGAATTTACAGGATTGAGAATAATAACTCGTTAAGATATATTTCTAATCTTCAGGAACCCGGTTATATCTGCAATGACCCACAAATACAGCCTGTGATAAATGAACAACATACCTTCTATTATCTGTTCGGCATTATCACCTAATCATCTCTCACATCACCGGTTTCGTTAACAAAATAGTCCAAAAACACCGAAATCACCGACTGAACCACTATAGTACTGTTTTTCTTAAAACACAATCGCTTGTCTTCGCGTCGTCTGATCGCTGAACAAGTCGATCGTACTGCAATTTCGGTACGTTCGTTCGTATACGGCGGGCACAATCCAGGTCATTGGGTTAACCGTCCGTGACTTTGGCCGAAGCCGATGGGCGAAAGACGACGATCCTCCTGATGACGGTTGATACAAGCGACGCGTTGGCTGTTTGACAAATATTATAAATAATTCGCGTTCAGGTGGCGATGATGATGATGGCCTTCAGTTATTATTCTCACTTGAGGAAAAGTTATAGCGGTTTTAAATAAGTAGAGATGTACGTTAAAGCATAATACGATTTCAGAAGAGCATGAGATTGAAATTTAGGTACATTGTAATTTTTGTCCCCTATACAGGGTGGCGCACCTTATTCGCCTCGGTTCTTCTTCTTAAGGTGTCGTGTAGATTCCTACGTAGGTGGTCATCTTTTTCTTCCTCATCAGATGGTTCTATTAACTGCAGCGACTTGGAGTGCTTGAAAGTCCTGTATGCCTGTCCAATGACGAATATTTCTCAGCCAGGATAGCTTCCTTCGGCCTATTTCCCTTTTGCCCCCCTCTACCCTGGAGAATCAGACGCTGAAAGTGATAGCGTTCTCCACGTAGTATGTGTCCCAAATAGGCTATTTTCCTCTTCTTGATGATTACGAAGAGTTCACGTTCTTCTAGACCCTAGCTCTTCTGAGAATGTCTTCATTCCTCACACGGTCGACCCAGGGCACTCTTAGCATTTGTCGTAGGGTCCACATTTCGAAGGCTTCAATTCGGTTTATAGTTGCTACCTTCGGTGTCCATGCTTCCACACCATATAACAAAACGGACTAGATATAGCACTTCACCATTATGTATCTAAGGCCGAAGTTCAAGTTCCTATCTGTGAGAAATATTCGCAGTCTCGCAAAAGTAGATCTTGCTTGTTCGATCCTGCATTTGATCTCCTGATCTGGATCCCACGTTTTATTAACTATGTATCCGAAATATTTAAATTGTGTGACCTGCTTGATGACCTCTCAATTTAAGTAAATTCTGGTGTTCGTAATATTGTTTCTGCTACCAGCCATAAATTTAATTTTTGTAGTATTTATGTTTAAACCCAGTCTTTGGCTTTCATTGTTAACCTTATTTAGAAGGATTGGGAGATCATTTGCATTGTCTGCCAATATCACTCTGTCATCCTCATATCGGATATTATTAATTGAAATGCTATTTATTTTCAAACCAATGCAATGGGACTATCGGAGATTGACTCAGTGAATGCTCTTTCCACATATAAATTGAACAACACTGGAGACAGAATACACCCTTGCCTTACCCCCTTTTTATTTCAAAATCTTGGGTTACTCCCACGCTATGTATACGAATTTCAACTTTTTGGTTCCAATTCGCCTCGGTTGATTATACGAAAACGGAAAGATGTAGAAACAATTTTTTATGGCGATCGTCGGTATTTTATTAAATTTTTGGATTCTTGGGTATAAAATAAGGCATTTATTATAAGGGTTTAATATGCTTAAATGCTTTAGTTTCTGAGATATTTAAAGATATTTAAATAAGCATGCTATAATAAAAAAGTTTCTCAACTTGTAGATTACTTCGGTTGTAGATTACTTTTCAGAGTTAATTAATTCTTGTGCTGATTTTGATGCCAGAGAAATAATTTTTACTAAAAAAATTTATTGCTTCATTAAATGTATACAGGGGTATCAAAAATTGCTGGTCTATTTTAAATATTTATTTTTATAACCAAGAATTATACAGGGTGTTTCAAAAAACATGTGCCATCTCTCGTGGGGAAGTTTCTCATGTAAGGTTTATTTCATATATCAACATAAGTCCGATTCTGCTTTGTTTCGTAACTACAGGGTGTTGAAGTCTAAATATTTTTTTGGTTTATTATAATATTCTTCCAACTACTTTTAGCGTTTTGAATTAAATTTTGAGGGTAAAAGTTACTAATAATAAATGCGACATATTTTAAAGTCAAAAAAGTGTTTTTCACTTTTTAAAAGCATGTACACCACTGACTTTTTTCTCTTGTTAGCGAAATAGTGTAAGCAGTTTAATGCCGATTATAAGTTGTCTCTTGATATTTTGTCTATTTCGGCCTAATTGATGAAATTGATTGACAAGAGATGCAATTTTGTTAATAATTTTCCTTGATCCAAGTCTTAATAGCAACCTTTAAAAAATTTTAATGTCATTCACTTGCGAAAGTTTTAAATAAGTACTCATTAATTTTTCATCGACAAATATGAAAAAAAGTTCCTATAAACATGGGTATGGAAATGCATAGTTTTAAAGTTATGTTAAAACCTTTATTTTTTATCTTAAATACCTCCCACTATTTTTTTTTTATTTCAAATTGCTGTAGGTTAGATTAATAGTAATAACATTTAATAATAAATTAGGTAAAATGTATAATTTATTAATTTTATTTTTATTTTAATTTTGTTAATTATGATTAATAAAATTTCGTTTATCTCATCAAGGAAGCCAAATTCTACAAAATATCAAGAGATAACTTTTAATTGGCATTAAAGAGTTTATCTTATTTTTGATATCAAAAGAAAAGAATCAGTGACGCACATTTTTTTTGAAAAAGATTCCAGTCATAACTAGTAGTGGGAACTATCGAATGAATACTATCGAAACATTCGATAGTTGCAATTCATTCGAATAATTCGATAGCTAGTAAGAAAACATTCGTTGAAAACTATTCAAATAAAAATTATCGAATAGATGCGTCATCTGCTTTGAAATATTGTGTTCTAGTAATTCGGCAGCAAAAACCATTAATTTATAAAATTCATTCATTTATGAAATTCATTTATTCGTCAGAATCGATTATAATAAAATATTAACTGGATTTTAGTTGTCGCCCGGCGACGTAGGTTTCTTTCCGAGAAACCCGACAGCGGTCGGTGGCAATGCTATGAAAGAAGCCGGCATCTTTGATTTTTTGCGGAGTCATATATAGAGATAAGGACACGTTATTTTTTTATTGAGGTGCTAGTATTTACACAGAAAATACATTATGAAGGGCGCTGTTGACATATATTGGTATTAGTTGATATTAGCAAAGAATATTATTGTTTGGCTTTAGTTAGTTAGGGATAGTATATCTATATATTTTGCATTTTTTTTATTAATATTCTGTTGTTGCACTGCAATAATACTTGTTATTTTGGATGTAGGAAAATTATTTTTAATGTTTTTAAGCAAAGACTGGTTTAATAAAAAATAATAATAACAGTAATAACTTGCTATACCTATTAACAACAAAATTTAAAATAATTTAATATAAACATTTTTTTACGTAGTAGCAAAATATAAACAACAAATTAGATGTCAAAATTATTTATATTAGATCCTATTTAAAAATAATATAGTCTTTAAATTTTTGTGTGTGGCAACGTTGGTTTATTAAATAATTACAGAATTAATTTGTTATATTAACAACACACTTTAAAATCATGAAATACAAACATTTATTAATTTTCTAAGCATGCAGTGTAATGGAAGGAAAATATAAATAAAAAATTAGAAATCAAAATTATTCATATTAGGTATATATTACTATTTAAAAATAATATTTACTTTTACTGTCATTTACTTTAAAAAATAAATGAAATATTTCTTCGCAAAAAACTACATGTAAGAGAATTAGCATAAACAAAATACAAACACCGTTAACTTTTTTTTAAATTGGTACGTGTAAAACTTTCAATTTGATTTTCTCATCCCATAGTTTGAGTTCGATAATCATTTACTTAACCACATTACTTAAATATGATTATTAAGTTCAACTAATTCATATTATTAAAACATCTAAAATACAAATATGTATTTTTCATCATTTCATAAGTTCATCTCATCTCTCTTAAAAATTGCTACTTCTCAAAATTTCCCATTAAAAAATAGACCATATACCATATAAAATAAAATAATTGAAAGATCGGGCTACGGAAAATCACACAAATTTTCGGAAAAATTTTGACCACCTGCAGACGCATACAATCGTCAATTAAAAAAATACTATTTTAGTATTTTAAATATTTTAATAAACGCAAAAATAGTACAGTATTTATAAGGCGAAGTTATAAAAATTTGGAAGAACTAATAATGCACTCACGCACACAAAAATCAAACGAATACTAAAATACTAAATTTCATTTATCAAAAGCATTCGATAGTTGTGGCTCAACGATAACCATTTAGTCGCACGGCGAGGTTGTCACATATGCTTTAGTATACAAATGAATGAATGATTTTATTCGAATAAAACCATTTGATAGTTGAAATCATTCATTCAGTAACCATTCGATAGTCTAATTCATTCGATAGTTCCCATCGCTAGTCATAACCCTTATGAATTTATCGACATTTTTTTTAGCATTAAAATATGCAGCACTTATGGTCACTTTTACCCTCAACACTTCATTTGAATCGCTAAAAGGATTTGAAAGAAAATAATTATAATAAATCGAAAGATTATTAAGATTTTAACACCCTGTAGCTACGAATCAAAGCAGAATAGGACCTATGTTGTGAATAAATAAATCTATTATTACATGAGGAATCTCTCCATCCAATCTTTTTTGAAACGTATACAGGGTGGTCCGAACTGTATTCCGGAAACTTCGGCTGTATATTCTGCAGATCAAAATAAGTAAAAAAGTTTGTATAAATGCATGTCCTAAAATGATTAGTTTCGGAGATACAGGGTGTAGAAGTTTCATTTTTATTTCGATTTTGTCCAAATAATTTCTGAAGTAATGTCAATGTTTCCGGAATACAGTTCGGACCAGTGGCGGCTCGTCAGGGTAGGCAAGGTAGGCGGCGCCTACCTTAAGATTTTGGCAGAATTTTAACAATTTATTACATCATTACATTATTTACTATTAATGTTACCAATACATAAAAATACTGTTAATACACGGAAGTGTGTCAGTCATCAATATTATTTTAATATTTGTGGTCTTGTATATTAACATATTCACTACCGCTAGCGTACGCTGATCGCTGACTGTGCCGCTGTGTACAAAATAATTTTGACCGTTGGAGTGCCTTTGCTCGGCGATTTCTACATCGCCTACTATCAGAGTCGATGCACGACGTACGGTAGTCTTCTGTCTCTGTCT